CAGCACTGGGCTAGACCTTGTGAGGAGTTCCCTGGAAAGCAGGACAGTCAGCTCCTGAGAAAATTTCAGTGAATTACATATATCAGTTAAAGTTCTCACAAAATACTAGACTAAAAATTTTGGCTCACTATATTAAAAGAGGAAACTAAAAAACTAAAAACAAGAGGAAACTACAGTTCAGAAAGGTATTATTCTTGCATCGAATAATGGATATCTAAGAGCTGTGCTTTCTCTCCTCAGTTACTTGTATTCTTTCCCTAAATGCCTTCCTCAGTAGCAACATCAAAGTATTTGTAGCTTACTTTACTAAATGAATTCTAATAACATCCAGCACTTCATCTGCACCTGCTTTAGCATTCTGGTTTTCAAATGTCAGATGTCAGTGGGACTAAAAGGGGTGACATTTTTCACAATTCTGGTGTATTGGTCAAAATCATTGAAAATAATATATACATTTTCTACTTTGCTCCTACAGACCTGAAACTGACCTACAGTGGGCACATTTGCACAAAACTCAGGCTAATATTCATTTAGTTTTTCTAGAGTATTGAAACCAGACAGGATGAGGCTGATAAAATATAAATACTTCCTTATTTCCTTACCCAGTCAAATGAAGTTAAAATTTACTTAGCTTTTACCCATGATGTTACAGTATAAGTAAATGTGAGCACCAGAGTTACTGAAGGAATAAAATTTGGTGATAATTTTAATACTTCCCATATTTTCATTAAATCTGTCTTCACATACTGTCTACCTAGACAAATGACAGAACAATCACATAGAAAAGCTCCCCATATTGAGTATGCTCTGGTGATACAGGGTGAGTTGAACTGTGCCCAAAATTCAGCATCCGATATAACACATAATAAATAATATTGTTCTCTACTTATCTCTATATCCACACAAAAGAAAAATGATCACATCTATACTCAAGGTAAAGTCTAATGTAGGATGAAGTTAAATTTAGTCTTTTAAATATTAACATAAATATTTAAATTAATCATCACTAATACATGTCAGTGTGGTCAGGATGATACCAGTTCATTGTTGGGGGCTAGAAGGCTTAAGTTATATAATAGACTTTAGCTTGTAAATCATTTCAATGTTGCTGTCTTCAATTTGTCTTGATGTTAACCAACTTCAGCCTTTTCCCACAACACAGTTGAAGGATAAACATAGCTAAAGTTCAGGCTCCGGCTACCTTTCCAGATAATTACTATTACAGTTCAGAAAGATCTCAAAAGGATTTGATTACTCAAAGGGCACTGCATAGATACTGTGTGAATATGGCAAAGAACTGGCTGTTTCTTTATATTTCACTCTCATGACTTTGAATTATATAATATACCAGACAAGAACAGCACAAAGAAAAAGGAATAAAAACTTAATTAACTATTTTCCAGCTCTCACCCTGTGCTCTTTGATCCAGCGTTCCATGTCATTCTCGGTTAGATAGTAGGCTTTAATATAGGTTTCCACAAATTCTTTATCAGGAATGGGTCTGATATCTGTTAGTTTTTCAAGTTTCATTAAAAACTGTTGAAAATCCAATTGCATCAAGGCACGACCCTCATTACTGCACTTCTTGACGTTGGCATATCTAAGATACACAATAATAAAAAAAATAGAGGATGGAAAAAGAAACCTGTAGGTATTTCAACTTTTCTTAACCTGTATGTGGACAGATTCTCTAGGAATGAGAGTGTTATAAGAAAAAGAACACATGAGCCTTGTGTCAGAAGGACTGGGTTGTGTCCAGACCCTGTCACTCAGCAGTCATTTTACCTACGGGGCCTCAGTTTCTTCATTTGCAAACCAAAAAGATCAAATAACTTACAAAGTTCTTTGCTGCTCTACAGACTACAGTTCCCCACAGTCAATTAACATAATCATCTGTAAGAAAGTTAAATTGGTATTCCAATACATTTGACTGCCAAGAATTATTTATAAAAAACGAAGCTATGAATACTCCAAAGTAATCTTAGTTTCATAAAACTGTTCAATATTGTAACTACTGGGTGCAAAGGAAACAAATGTAATAATTCCCCTATGAACAGTCAGCGAACCAGAGAAACGGGTGAGCATCTGAGCAAAGAAGGTATATACATACTTTTCATAATAAAACACTTTACAGACTTATTCTGACACCTGACACTACTGAAAAACTGTGTTCTAAGGTGGAGTAGTAATAAGAATAAATGTATTAACCCTATGAGGACAACATTTTATTACTCATAAGTCAGTGTCTCATTCCTTCAATAATATTCCAACCCTAGGAACGCAGTACTTCCCCTAAGGAAATCTGCAAGGAAACTAAAGTGCATATTATTTGAAGTGACCAGGCTTTTTTTTTTTTTTTTTTAATAATAAAAAGTGCTTCGTACAGAAATAAAACCTTCACTTTTCTACTTTATTAAATAAATTTATTAAAAATACTTTTCAGTCATGACTGTTGACAGGGCCATTCTGTGACATACAGCACTGTTGATTTTTCAATACAGAGTGCCAAAACGTCAGCTTGTCACTGTCACCTTCCCACTCTCTAAGACGTTCTTTATAACAAAGAAGAACTGAAAAGAAATCAGATAAATGATAATGTGGAAATTTACCTGATGTGCAACTCCAGACCATATGAATGGTCTATACCAGATTGCTTTCCAGAGAGAGTCTGTGTTCTAGATGCAAACATGGTCTTTGAGCGAGTGGGAAAATTAGTACTGAAAGATCTTTAAACTCAACATATGAAAGATGTATATAGTTTACAATGTTATGATGATATCATTAACAGATATAGTGGTTATGAGGACTGATTTTGTCATCAGAAAATCAGTAGTTCATAAACCTTGGTGTTTGAAAACTGTGTGAACCTTGATAAGTTATTTAACCTCTCTAGGCCTCGATTTTCTGAAGGTAGATTTTCTCCTTGATAAAACAGAGAGAGAAATGCTTCTGTCAAAGAGATTATGTTAGGATTTGGTGATATAATCCTGTCAAGTGCTTGATCTAATAAATGACACACAGTGCTCAATAAATGTTATCTATAATCATCATCATCATAATTATATTATTAAGGAATAATGACTATTAGGAGTTTAACTTTCTGATAACCATTAGACGCTACTTTCCATGCTCCTCTACTAGCTGGTTCTAGGTCACCACAGAGAAAAAAAAGCACAGACAGAAGAGCCACAGTGGGGTTTAAAGTTTCTTCAATTATGTTCTATAGTCAAACCTGAATTATTATAGGATTATATTTACTATTATTTATGACATTCTCTACCTATTCTCTCCAGTGGTGATAATATGCAATGTTATTGCATTATGATTTATCACTGAAGACTCAGATAATGCTTTCATGAAAACTTACCCTTCCACAATAGTTCTATTAGCCAGCCGTATACAGTGTTCCCAAAGTATATTAGACACAGGTAGGGGTATCCGAACTCTCTTAGAAACCTCGTTTAACCTCCTGTTAAACTGCTCAAATTCCTAAGAAGACAAAAATCATGGCCATATATGAATATAATTATAATGCCACATTGTTTTCCCATCTTACTGGCAAAGAAGAATGTTTAGAAAGACTCAGAGTCAAACTAAGTAAAACAAAAAGCAAGAATGCAAAAGATAACTTGGACTTAGTATGAAGGGTTTTGTTTTTTAAAGTATATCAAACTGCATAAACTATGTTGTGATACAGAGTACACTACATTTCATCTCAACAGATTAAACAATGCAACCAATGTTCAAATGCTTCTTCATCTCAAATTCTTCTATGACTGTTGGTATGGACTAAAAGAGTTTAATCACCTAAAATGTTTTTAAAGTTATCTTCAAGAAACTCAGTTTAATTTTTTTTTTAATGTTTATTCATTTATTTTTGAGAGAGAGAGTGTGTGTGAACGGGGGAAGGACAGAGAGATACACACAAAAACCAAAGCAGGCTCCAGGTTCTGAGCTGTCAGCACAGAGCCCAATGCGGGGCTCAAACTCACAAACCGTGAGATCATGACCTGAGCCAAAGCTGGACGCTTAACCAAATGAGCCACCCAGGCGCCCCAGAAACCCAGTTTAAAAAACTGTCTTAAAAGTTTTCAACTCAGAGTGAACTGTGAACCATTTGTAATTTGAGGCAATACTCCTTAGAGAGCAATCAGATAAAGTATTCTCTTTCCTAAACATTTTTTAAACGTAAATAATTATATTCTGAATGATTTGAAAGTCATGTGATAGCTGCAAATTTTTAGTACAAAGGAAAAAAATAAAATAAAACCATTCTGGTTTCCTGCAGAAAAACTGAATATTTTTATTACTTATTAGTAACTTCTATGGTACCAGTGTACTAAAAATAAAAATACATGTGACTAATTTAGACAATTTCTAACAATTACATGAAAGCAAATGGTTTACCCTTCATTAAATATATTTCTAGCTTCTCTGGACTATTATCGTCTAAATATGTTCATTTACAAAAGTAAATGCTATAGATCCTTCCTTGACAATATATTGCAAATAAATATAACAAGGCTTAAAATGACATTTCTCCTTTAGTTTCCTCAAAACAGGTGCCACACAATGCTTAATAAGTCAAGACTGACATGTGTTCAAATTTTCTAATAACACACAGGAGGAAAAAGAATCTAATCGTCACCAGTCAAGCTACTATACGATTACTTGTTATTCTTTTGCTAATCACAATTTTTTTGATGACTTATTTTTGACAGTTAATTGCTTTTAATTATTTATGAAAAAGTAAACTTTCAATCCACTAAGCTTACTTTTGAGAATCAAAGTTAAATAAACAATTGCTCTTCATCCTTTTTGTTTTATGAGTCTAGCAGACACTACCATTTGCTACTGCATTCATGCTTCACTAAACTCTGCTTTAGCTTTCCAGAGTCTTGATTCAGTACTTTTTCACTAATATATATTTAAAAAATTTTTAATGTAATTTTTTTAATGTTTATTTATTTTTGAGAGGGAGAGAGACAGAGTATGAGCAGGGGAGGGCCAGAGACAGAGGGAGACACAGAATCCAAAGTAGGCCCCAGGCTCTGAGCTGTCAGCACAGAGCCCAATACGGGGCTTCGAACTCACAAACTGTGAGAACATGACCTGAGCTGAAGTCGGACACTTAACCGACGGAGCCACCCAGGCGCGCCACTAATATTTTAAAGATAAAGTTATATGCTAACTGTATGAAATGTCACTCTACTCATTGTTAAATTCAATGTTCAAGAATGCTTCTTATTAAATGAATAATAAAAGCATTTCATTTAACTTATGATTCTGGCGGGGGCAACAAATGCAAATTGCTTTTTACCTAAAGGTTTGGACTTGGAAAAGTAATAGAAAGAATAAAAGTTATATAAAAGTTTCTTTAGAGAAGGTGGATTTAAGTTGCTCAAAACTGGGTTCAGGTTGATAATCGGAATACATTGGTTCCTTCTCATAATATTAATGTTTCTTATAATCAAGAATAACTAGACAAGTAGGTTCCATCTAGTATATATATTCACTGAGTGTAGAAGTCTCATTCTTCTTACACCCATCTATGAGTACCATGGTCAGCATGCCATAAAAAAATAAAATCAATCTTTCAAAAGCAAAATTGTTTTAAAAAAATGGTGTGTGTGATTATTTATAAATTACATTTGTCTATCACATTCCAAATTAAAATTCCCAATTGAGACCTCCTGGGTGCCCTAGAAAGCAAAGTTCTCCCAGGGTGGCAATTAGAGAGCACCCTTGTTGTCACTCACCCTTCAGACTTGACACTATCCCCTAGACATTGCTAACTGATGTCCCACCCTTAGTTCCTAAGTCGGAGTTTTCATCACAGAACTCTAGATGGGCACCAGGCATTGCTGGGAGTTGGCACACTAGATGATGAATTCCGCTGCTATCTCTGTTTTGATCTCTGGCTTTGCTTATTGGTTCACAAGTGTCCCTGGCTACCATGTGTTGCCCAGGACTAAGCAGGTAAGAATGTTTATGTAAATGAGATAAAAGGAGCTTAAGAAGGCCCATTTTCTTTTCACTGACAAATATGAAAAACAAAACTTTTCTGAAAGTGGTTTTCCTTAGATGCCCTTTCCTCCCCTCAGACACCTGCATGGCTCATCTCCTCGCTTCCTTTGGGCCTCTCCACAACCCTCCCTTTATCAGGATCCTCCTCTGACCACAAGTAAATTAACAGTATTACCACCCTGCCCCCAACCCCACCCTGCCACTCTCTATATCACTTCTGCTGCTTATTTACTTTTTCACTGGACTATTCATCATCTGACATGTCTTATCTTCATTTATGTCTTTACTGTTGTCTCTATATGGGTAGTAAATTCCTTGAGGGCATGTAAGTTCCTTAATTCCCCAACTATATTGTCAGCACCTAGATCAGTGTGTGGCAGATGTCAGGTGATCTACAAGTATCTCTTGATGCATAAATGACAAAAAATGAATTCTTTCCAGAAAAATTTTAAATGTAAGTTTGGAATGCAAAGGTGTTTGCATGACACACTGCAAAAGTAATGTGATTTTTAGGGAAAAAAAAAAAGCAAAATAGAGTAATCAAGGGCCTGGTCTCTTGCTGATAAATCTGCACAAGTACAGAAATATCTTCTAATTAAATAGAAATATCTTCTTGTCACCACAGTCATGGTTACTGAGATTACATAATATTAACTTGAACTCTCATTCAAGATGGGAAATTAGCGAGCAAAACCAAAAAATCTGCATAGTATTCTTGGGTCTGAAAGAACACAAAATTCGAAAAGCAAGTCTATTCCAGTACAGGGGCTTTAATATCACGATGCTAGAAATGTGATAACAACTATAACCTCACCACCTCAGGGCAACTGCAATGAGCGGAATAGTTCTCCTGATAGACTCCACTTTGACAAAGATGTTCCCAGAGTACTTGCCTTCAGCAGGGCATCTACATATATGTTGTGCTGTGACATAATTTCTTTCACATCCCACTTCACATTAGCCATTAGGAGCAGCATCTGTTCATAATCAATAGCTTTACCAGCTACAATCCAATAAATTGGCTTGCGTAGTTCACTGGCAGTTGAGACTGTCTGAAATAAATTTCACAGAAATGAAAAATGACAGATATTTTCTAAAAACCTCAGATTTACCAAAAATATTTTGTGCCTACTTCTAGTATAAATCACATCTAAAAATAAAACACTGCATATCTGAAGATTTCAATTACGAAAACACTTTAGTTCATAGGTAGAGGTCTTACTCAAAACATAATCTTGAGACATACAATCAGTTTGAGGCCACGGATACTACAACTTTAAAGAACCAGAGATACTCATGGAGACTAGCAAAGATTTCTCAAATTTTTACACTTCTCTCCATTTCTACTCTAAATGTCCAACCTCAAGATTTTGTCCTCTCAACTGTATATCTGTAAGAGCCTGCAAGCCAGTCTCCCTGCCTGCAGGCTTGCCATCTACTGCCGCCAGCTACTCTAACACACACACCAACTGCACCGCTTACCTGTTTCAAATCCTCCGGGACCTTCCCAGTACCTCGAAATAAAGCCCACCTCTTGGCTGAGAACACTGCGCACCATGTGGCTCCTGCTTATCACCTAGCCATCTTTCTCATCGCTAGCCCTCTTCCCTGCTCTGACAATTTGAGTTTTCTTCAGCTGCTTACATCCACCATGCTCTCACTGGCTGATATTCATGTAAGCCATTCCCTTGGTTTGGAAAATACTGATATACCCAGCTGGTCTGGTTTAAACATCACTTCCTCCAGACAGCCTTTCCAGACAACCTTCTCCCACCACACCTCCTTTCCTCCCC